CAACAAAGACAAGACAACTATCTGTGAACAAATCAATTTTATATCAACTCCAAAAATAGGACGGGGTGACTATCTACATGATGAATACTCCCTTCAGACCTCTACTGGTTCGATTTAAATATCTCAACGGTTTATCCTGATTCTTTCCCGTAGAGATTTTCTCTTGTTCAGATAAATTGCTCCAAGATTTATTCTGATTCTTTCTAGTTAAAGAAAATTCAAGACCTCTACTGGTTCAGTTTAAATATCTCAATGGTTTATCCTGATTCTTTCTCATAGAAATTTTCTCTGGTTCAGGTAAATCGCTCCAAGATTTATTCTGATTTCTTTCCAATTAAAGAAAATTCAAGACCTCTTATGGTTCAATTTAAATCTCTCAATGGTTTATCCTAATTCTTTCCCGTAGACATTTTCTCTGGTTCAGATAAATCGCTCCAAGATTTATTCTGATTCTTTCCAGTTAAAGAAAATTCAAGACCTCTACTTATTCAGTTTAAATCTCTCAATGGTTTATCCTGATTCTTTCCCGTAGACATTTTCTCTGGTTCAGATAAATCGCTCCAAGATTTATTCTGATTCTTTCCAATTAAAGAAAATTCAAGACCTCTACTAGATCAGTTTAAATCTCTCAATGGTTTATCCTGATTTTTTCCCGTGGACATTTTCTCTGGTTCAGATAAATCGCCCCAAGATTTGTTTTGATTCTTTCCAGACCTCTACTGGTTCAGTTTAAATCTCTCAATGTTTTATCATGATTCTTTCCCGTAGACATTTTCTCTGGTTCAGATAAATCACCCCAAGATTTGTTCTAATTATTTCCAGACATCTGCTGGTTCAGTTTAAATCTCTCAATAGTTTATCCTGATTCTTTCCCGTAGACATCTTATCTGGTTCAGATAAATCGCTCCAAGATTTATTCTGATTCTTTCCATTTAAAGAACATTCAAGACCTCTGCTGGTTCAATTTAAATCTCTCAATGGTTTATCCTGATGCTTTCCCGGTGGATGCTTTCTCTGGTTCAGATAAATCCCCCCAAGATTTATTCTGATTCTTTTCCAGTTGAAGTCAGATTTAGATTTAGTCTAATTTTTGTCAACAATCACCTTTGGATGGAATCTATAAGCCCATCTCCGACAACTCTCCATCATCCCTCCAAATGGAATATATAAGCCCATTCCCTATACAATCAACCACCATATCCTCAAGTGCAAATTTTTGGGCACTCAAGTGTCCAATCATGTTCCACCTGCAAGTCACAAATGGCAGATTCGCCAATCTAACTCTTCAAGTTTAAGGAGATTGAACAGGGGCAGCTGTTATACCCCAAAATGTGCCCTCTCATTTTTCAAGGCATTTCTCACAAGGATTATCAAGGTTCAAGCTTGCACAAGTACATTGGGATTTTCAGTATCAAGATTAAAAGGAAACTGTCAAAAAGGAAGAAAACAGATAAAAATAATATTTTGACAAATTTGGAGAAAAATAAGTGTTTTTCGATTTAGCTCATTCGATTGGCAAGCTTGGCTTGCATCCTTCGACTGGGCGCGGGCCTCTGGCACGTTGGCTTGGATTCACAAGGCACAAGGCCTCCTATAGCCTCCTTCGATTCCAAGGGAAAAGGCTCCCTTTTGGCGTCCTTCGATTTGCACTTTTTGCCTCCTATGTGCCTCTTTCGAATCTGGACATTTTGGCCTCCTGCATGCACCTTTCATTTGGGCATGCAGTTCCCTTGTTTCAAGCTATGTTTGGACATTTGACTTTGTTCATGCTTGCTTCTTTTGGGCACATGAATCCTTCAGTACAAGCTACTAGTCACACCTTTCGTTTGGGCATGTTGGTTCTCTTTATGCAAGCTTCATTTGAACATAGATCTTTTGCGTATTTGCATGAAGTCACAAATCAAGGACCCCCTATGTACACTCCTTCGTTTGGCCAGATGGACCTTTGGGCAGGCAAGTCTTTGACTGGACAGAACCACCTTCACAAGGTTTCGTTTGTAACTGTTACCCTTCAAATCAGCATCTTTCGAATCCAAATTTGGGCATCCCATTCGAAGGACATGCTTGATGGTCCATTCAAAGGATTTACAAGCCCACTTTAAGGAATGTTTTTGGTGACCCATCCAAGGGTCACACTTTTAGCTCCTTCGAAGGATGCACAAAAGTGACTCAGTCGAAAGGCACTTGTAAGAGGAAAATTAAATAGTATTGCTTGGAGAAGAGTCTGGTCGACGAAGGGTCAAAATAAAAGGATGACATTCAAAGATGCTTGCTGCCAAGTTCAGACCTGGAACACTGGCCAAAACTGCTGCACAACAGTCCTGAAACACTGCCCCCTTCTAACACCAAAATAGAATACAAGGCACTGTCTCTCGAAAGCTACAAAGAACAGGTAACTCAATTTGTTCAAACCTGTTTTTTCCCTCCAAAAGCTTCAGGCAGCCTTGCCTATAAATAAGAGGATCCAATACATGTTCAGAGAGGACTTTTTATCCAGAGGAATGAATCTCCAAAATTTTCTCAAACACCACAAAAATCTCAAATACTTAAACACTTGTGAAAACACAAACCCAGAATCCAAACTCTTGTCCCCTTTGAATCTGAAACATCCTTACATCTTGTTACCCTTCGAATCCAGCAAGAAAGACATTTCACTTGTTTTTCTCTTTCGAATCCAGTAGTAAAGACGCTACCCTCGCTCCTTTTCTTCGATTTCAGGGATACTCAAGGCAATCACCTAAAGGCCCAACACACGTCCCAGCCCCAAGAAAGGTAAGTCATCCTTACCCTTGGATCCTTCATTTCCAGCACAACATGTAAATAAAATTCCTTTTTGTTTCAAACATATACATAACATTTGTTCCTATTTCGTTTACACCCTTTTAGTTTGTTGTTATTGCCTTTCTTTTTGGTTTTGTTCTTTGGTTTCTTGCAAATGTTTTTTAAGAACTAATCTGGCCTTAAGGCAGTGCTAGCATGGCCTTAGGCCATGTTTCTATTTAACATCTCAAACAAAGGAAACAGGAAATAGGAAGTAGGGAACGAAGCCTTTGGCTTCCACACTAGCCCTCAGGTTAAACGAAAGAGGCAGCCAAATGCGTACCATGCTGACTTCCAGGCCCAGATGAAAGGCAATCCCTTACTGCTTTCAACTCCCAATAAAAGGAGGCAGAAAGGCAGATTACATCTTGCACTGGTTCCAGGCCCAATCGAATGGAACAACATGCTGGCCTCTAGGCCCCATTCGAAAGGCACAACATGCTGACCCTCAGGCCCCAGTCAAAAGCCACGCCTTCACCCCTTTCTGGCCAAATCGAAGAGAGCCCGAAAGTGAAGAATCGAAGGGTTTTCTGCCTCAATCGAAATACCCTCTTTTTTCTTGATTTTATTTTATTTTTGCCTTTATTTCATGCAATTCAATATGGTTATAATAGTGTAGGATTTTATCTTTCTGCATTTTATTACTTTTGTATGCTTGCTAGTAAAATAGGGTATGTATGGCAAGATAAAAAACAACAAGTAGACAACCCCTAATCAAAGACAAAAATGCATGCAAATCAAACACAATATTTACACATGCACCCTTAAGGTAATCCCACTTGTTGCCTCGGAGAAATAGTCATTGTCCCTCGAATATGGGTGTTTTAGCAAAGACCCTTGATAAAAGATCGTAGTCCCTCGACGACCCTCGATGTTGCATTCGGTAAATGATATAGTCCCTAAAATACATTGCTAAGGCGTCCCATAGGTTTCCTTTTATGACTATACAAACTTCCCATGTTCGTTCCTTCACATCCAACGATGGGGATTCTTAGAAAATTAATGGTATGATAACAACATCTAAAGGAGGAGGAAAATACATTTAAGACCTTTTGAGTAGGTAGGTTGCTCCTAGTTGCTCGCTTGCTCACAACAAAAACATTTTATACACCAACACTTTCATTTTGAAACATTTTCAAAAGACAAACACTTCGTACGCGTTCTTATAGAAACGAGAGCCATTACAAAGACGCCTTTTCAAAATCATTGTCAAAAACACACCTCACAAAACACTTCTTTGAACTATTTTCCAAACAGTACTTTGTATGCATTCTTATAGAAACGAGGACCATTACAAAAACGTTTTCAAAATACTTTCAAAACCCACACCGCAAGCACATTTTCAAACAAAAGCAAGTGATCTAGAAAGCAACTAAGATCCCGTAGATAGCTACGGATAAAAAGGGTGTTAATACCTTCCTTTTTCATAACCTACCCTCCGAACTCAAGAAATAATCTCAAAAGGTCTTTCCTGTTCTTTTCAGCCTTTCCTCATTGGATAAAAGAAAAGTCGATGGAGACTCTTGCTATCCGCAACAATTGCGATAAAATGCAAAACACCCAAGTCAGTTCTCCCACCGCGTTACAGGTTACTTTTCATTTCTACACATTTTAGTAATTCTTGATTTTCCTTTTTTATTTAATTAATTGCTTAAGTATTATTTATTGATTTTATGTATCTAATCATTTTCTGGTTTTTATTTTACTAACTAATATTTCATTTTAGCAAACACACCCCCAAATATGATATACGCCTTCAAAAAACTCATCCAAAATCACCCCAAAGGCCCAAGATCCGTAACCAAGGCCCATCTGCAGGAAACACAAGCATGGTGAATGCCACACCACTCAAATTCGTAAAAATCTGGGACAAAAGTGTAACAACTTCTTCTTCCCTTATTTTTACCCCATTTTCTTCATTCAAATCCCACTCCTTTCCTCCATTAACACCCACCATAATCCCACCATTCACATAGCTCTCAATAACTTCCAAAACCTCTTCATTTTACAACAATTTCTCCATAAAAACCCTTTTCCTTAATCAACAAATACCAAAAATTCTCAACAATACCAACTCTTCATTATCGCAAAATATTCATTTTCTTTATCCAAAACAACCAACAATGTCAGGAGAAGACAACTTTCCGGAGGAACTCATTTTTTGACAAGTTCCAAAAGGTAGAAAACAAAGGAAAAAGTACGAGTCTTTGATGGACCGAGACATTTTCTCCATAAGGTATATCGATGACTCTTGCTTACATACATTAGGGATTTATAATAGTGTTTATTATCAGGTAGAGACTCTAGGATTGAAAATTTTATTTATGCATAGAGACCAAACCTACATGAACCCGACGCTGGAATTTTTTAGTTCACTTGTTTATTATACAACACCTAATTTGGCAAGCACAGTAGGAACAATTATATTCCGAATGTTTAATGTCAAATATGAGTACACCACTGACGTTATTGTAGAGTTGCTTAGTTTTTCCTACATGAATGGTGTTCCTTGTGAGGCACCGTTAGAAACAAATTAGGTATATGATGCGGGGGAATTTTGGAGGGATTTAATAGAGTTGCTTAGTTTTTCCTACATGAATGGTGTTCCTTGTGAGGCACCGTTAGAAACAAATTAGGTATATGATGCGGGGGAATTTTGGAGGGATTTAACATGTTTTGATACTGGTACTTTTGAGGGAAATCTAGCTTCTCATATTCATAACCCGACCATCTACATTTTCCGCCAATTATTGGAAGATACCATCTTTGGCCGGGAAAATACAAATAAGACAAACTCTAAAGAGATCTTTTGCCAGTGCCATTGGGCTTGATAAGGAGCTTTCTATCATTGAGCCTCTAGAAAACCACATTGTGATACGGTGGCAGAACTGACTATTTAATACTGGATTTGCATTTTTTGTTTGCAAATGTTGCGGTAAGTAAGAGTCGCCACTGAATTTTCTTTTATCAAACAAAGGAAATGGTGAAAAGAACAGAAAAAGACCTTTTTCGAGATTTTTTTAGTAAGGGGGAAGGTTATGGAAAGGGAATGTGTTAGCACCCTTTCCATCTGTGGTTTTCCACAGGCTCTTAGGTACTTACTCATTTTTTGAAAATTGTTTGTGTTTGTGTGTTTTGAAAGATTTTTGTTTGCTTTATGGTAACTCTTGTATCAGTCCTCAAGAGTGTGATAAAGCGTTTTTGAAAATAGTTTTTGAAAAGTGTGTAAGTGTGAAAAATTCTGATTTGAGCAAGTACTTAAGAGCAACCTACCTACTTGAAAAAGGATGTTCTTTTCCTCCTTTCCTTTAGATAATGATAGGTAGCCCTATCGTTGGATGTTGAGGGACTATCAAAAGGGGCACTATGGTCATTGAAGGCAACATGTAGGATATCTTAGCATTCGAAGGGACTGTCATCATATAGGCAACATCGAAGGACAAGATAATTTTCTCGTAGGAAACTCGAGGGACGTTAAGGGACCATGATCTTTATGATGACTTTAAATTTGAGGGTCTTTGCTAAGATATCCCTACGTTCGAGGGATATAACCATTGTTTTCCGAGGCAACCAAGTGAGGAATACCCTAAGGGTGCAAGTGTGAGAAGTGTGTTTTTTCCAGTTATATTATCTTGAGGTTAGTGATCTAACTATTAATTGACTTTATCTTGTCATGTACGCCTAAGTTACTAACAATTATATACAGAAAAAATAAAATGCAGAAAGTATGAATCTAGACTATTGTATGGCTTCGGGGAGGGGGATATTTACATTCCAAACCAAATGGGGGAAAGAAAATAAAGCAATAAAGTAAATTCCTATTAACTATTACATCCCGTATAACAGTTATATGAATATAAAATACAAAAGAAAATAAACGCGCGACAAATGAAAACACGTTCAAAAACCTAGAGGAAAAATCTTTTTAGTTTTTTTTGTTTAAAAAAAGAAAATAATTAAATTAAACATCCTAAAATCTATTTAGAAATATGAAAATTAATTAGGAAAAATAGTCTAAGCTTTTTTTGTTTAGTTTTTATTATGAAAAAGAAATGATTAAACCTAAATTAAATCCTAAGTTCTAATTCAATTTTAATTAAAGAGAAAAAAATGGTTAAAATAGTTATTAATTAATTCAAGAAGTTAATTATTTAATAAAAAATCTAATACTAAATTTTTTTGATTTTTTTTTATTATTTGTTAAATTAAATAAAGAAAATAAAAGAAATTAAAACAAAATAAATAAAAAAAACAAAAAAAAAAACAAAATGGGCCTGGTCATCAAAAGCAAAAATGAGGGGTGTTGTTGTCAAAAACACTTGGCCCAAATCAGAATTTTGTATTGGGATCCAGTGAGGAACGCTTGTGATAGCTCATGATGCACCTGCAGATCAGAGGCATTGGTTTGGATCAGATAGTGATCTGATGGCTTAGATTGAAGCTCCATGACACGCGCATTTGGACTTGTAACACTGGATCTGTAGAAAATTATTGAGAAAATTAAAACTGCTGGACCTGGGATTTGAACCCAGGTCCTTTCCCTTACATACGCGCGCCCTTACCATCCGTGCTGCTTATCCATTTGTTGATAGAAAGCAAACAAAAATGTTATATACAAAAACAAGTCATTATCTAGGAAATAAAAAAAAACGTGCTCCATTATTCAAACTGGCCAATCAGAAGCTGACACACTTCATCTCCTACCTCCCTCCATCGTCTTAGATTATAATGCCTATAGTGGCAGTTTTGGTCTGTCACTATAGCACCTGAAACTTGTAAAACTCACAATACGCAACGAAAATGAATTTTGAGACCATGGGTTGATTGCTCTCAACCTCCTGAGTAAGATGGTGTCCTTAGTTTGGGCTAATTTTGGCCATTATGAAAAATCCTAATTTAGAGGTTTAAACCCTAAAAATGGTAATATATGATTTTGGCTCCCAAACTGCAATCAAACTAAACCAAAAGCTTGCAAATTCTCAAAAGGTTAAATTTGCATGGTTAAAACACATTGATATTGTATGAATTGTATAAAATGAATTTTGAAAAAGGGGGAAAACCGTGATGAATGGAGAATGCGTTTGGCAAGGCTTCAAGGCTTGGTAATGGTTGGGACAGCTTCAGGGAACCTCCAGGAAGTGATTAGGATCCTTGGTTTGGACTGAGGGAGGCTAGAACTTGAAATTCGAGTTTGACAACTTTGAAGTTTTTTGCAAAATGTGAAGGGGTTCTCTAGGCTCGGTGTGCTTGTTTGGAGCTGGCCAATGACTTGTTTATATAGAGAATGATGAGGAGACACGAAAAAACAAACTTTTAACAACCATAATCAATTGCTTGAATGCCATAAATGTCTGTTGTACCCCAAAATTTGCCCTCTCATTTCTCAAAAGATCATTCTGGACTCTCAGGTTTGCTTCTATCAAGTTCCAAGTCTTGAATTACAACTTTTCAAGAAAATCATCCACAAGGGCAAAATGGTCAAAAGCACATTGAAAAGTCAAACTTGGACTTTTAGACCAAAAATCAATTTTCAACAATTATATTTCATCAAGACATGAAATTGGTTCATCAAAAATCAGAAGTCAGAAATTACTTTGAAAAAATCAAATTTCTAAACATTTAGAAAATTTTCTAAGTGTTAAGAGAATATGATACTTCAGAACTTCTGGGCCAGCCTTCATGCGAGTGCAGTCAGAATTTGCAGACACAGTTCAAAACATGATGCTTCAATTAGAACATATGGAAGCAATGTCTTTCGGTAAGAACATGACCCTTCAGCATATGGAGGTTATGTTTTTGATCTTCTGCGATAAGAATATCACCAAATCCCAAAACCTCGTTTAAGCATCCTACTGCTCTACTATATCACAATCCTACAATCAGCTGCTGATCCAGTCCACGCCTGTACTTTCTCAAACCCCATATTTGCATCAAATTAGCATACAAAAACTGTGATTAAAAATTAATGGAACAATATGCCAAAAAAGTTAAAAATTCCATTTGTTTTCCCCCCAAAACCACAACAAATCCATCTATAAATAAGTGGCTCCATCACACGTTCAAGGGGCTGGCTTTTGGAGAGAGAAAATTGTCAAAAGAGAGAAAAGAAAACTGTGAAACCTTCGTAAAAATCTAGAATTTCCAAACAGAAAGCTAAACCTTTGTTCTTCCATTTGAACCAAAGAACTTGGCATTCTCTTTTTTGTTGCTCTTGCTGACTCCAGAATATCTGAAGGCGGTAGTTCAGGTTCCAAACACACGCTCCAGATTCAAGGTAAGTCTTTCTGACTTTGTATCTTTTCATTCAGAACATCATTAAATATGTAAATATCATAGTGTTGAATTGTCCATATCATTGCATAAGAAAAAAAACCGTGGATCAGAACTTCTTGATTAAGGCTAGGCTCAGAACTAGGATTAGAACTTCTATAAACTGCTGTGCTTTTATCCTCCTGATTTGTTGTTAAGGACTGAATAAATTGATGATGTGATGATTAATATGATGAAAGAGTTGAAATGTAACACATAACTTCTGACTTTCCCTCACCATTTTAACCCACAGAATGTCTAGGGCTTTCTTACTGTTAAGCACACTGAACTTCTGATGCTTCCACTCGCTGTTTTAACATACAGAACTTCTGGACTTTCTTACTATTTTAACGAAAATAATTTCTGATGCTCACTCACTGTGTTAGCACAACATAGAACTTCTAACTTTTGGTTCACTGTCGGAATACCACCCAAAACCTGTGTTTCCTTTCCCTCTGACGTTTCTTGCAGGGCCTTAGAGTGTATCAATCCAGAACTTCTGATTCCACTGACATTCCTTTCTGAGTCACAACGCGCCTGGCTTCAGAACTTCTGATTCTTGTTGTTTTGCTTGCAGCAGCATGCTGTTTCTATGTTTCATTTATTTTCCTTTTTATCATTTTCAATATTAATTCCCTTTTTTATTAATATAAAAAAAAATACATAAAAATATTTTCTTTTATTAATTAATTTATTTCATTTTCTTAATTCATTAAGACCAAAAACCATTTTCTAAACAAGTCATTTTTCTCTCTTGCATTGTATATTTCAATATGGTTGTAATAGTTAAATAGGATTTAAATTCTTGCAAACCCCCATTGGTAAATATGTACCCCCATCCCTAAAATATTGTAATAGCGTAGGACTTTTATATTTCCGCAATTTAACGCTTTTCCAAATATAAAATGCTAGTAATTAGGGCGTGTATGGCAAGATATGAAATTAACGAATAGACCGCCCTAATTAAGACTAAATGCATGCAATCAAACACACTTGCACACTAGCACCCTTAGGGTAATTCCACCTTGTTGCCTATCGGAAAAAGTAGTCATGTCCCTCGAACATGAGCGTTTTTTCATAAAAGACCCTCGATAAAAGATCGTAGTCCCTCGATGACCCTCGATGTTGCCTTCAATAAACGACCTAGTCCCTCATACGACTTTGCTAAAACGTTCCATGGGTTGCCTTCCATGACTATACAATAACGTCCTGCGCCCGTCCCTTCACATCCAATGATGGGGCTTCTTACCAAATCAATGGTAAGATAGCAACATCTAAAGGAAGAGGAAAATAACATCTAAGACCTTTTGAGTAGGTAGATTTGCTCCTAGTTGCTCGCTTGCTCAGAACAAAAACATTTTTATACACCAACACATCTCTTTGAACTATTTTCAAAACCAACATTTTGTATGCATTCTCATAGAGACGAGAATAATTATAAAGTCACATTTTTAAAATACTTTCAAAAACCACACCACAAAGAAAAATTTCAAAATAAAAGCAAGTGATCTAGCAAGTAACTAAGAGCCAATGGAAAACCATGGATGAAAAGGGTGCTAATACCTTCCCTTTTCATAATCTACCCCCTGAACTCAAGAAAACATCTCTAAAGGTTTTTCATGTGCTTTTTCAGCTTTCTTTATTGGATAAAAGAAAAGTCGGTGGAGACTCTTGCTATTAGCAACATTTGCGATCAAACGCAAAACAAGAAGTCAATTCTCCCACCATATCACAAAACGGGCGACTCTACTGGGGATTTTATAAGTGGGGTTACCTTAGAGTTAGATCACCTTTACTTGCTTTTTTTTGTTTGACTTGTTTGCTTTACATTTAGGGTTTTTTGCTTGAGTGTTGTTAAAGATCCTACACCCGGATCTAAGGGACACTTATTAGGTAAACAGAAAAAGATCGTGCAGACTGTACGGTGTAGACCGATATGGTTTAAGCGATGGCTGTGTTAGTGTGACACTTTGGTTGGTACCGGTATCCTTCTTGTGGAAACGAAGAGAATACAGGGACGCCGCGTGGTGTTGTGAAGCACTAACGGACCTTAGAACCTTAGTTGAACAAACTTGTCCATTAGAAAGTAGTGAGATAACCGACCTCGATATAAAGCTGAGGATTGGTTGATGCTCGATGCTACACTGATTGAGGTTAGACTTCCGGGATATTTTGGCCGCAAGTAAAGATTGCCTGAGCTGAAACAATGCCCGATAGAGGATGATCGGTGATATTTAAAATCCTTAGAACCCAGTTACTTTTCTAAGACAGTTTTGAAACCAACTGAACTTCAAGAGGGTACTTACCTTTAACCTCATGCAAGCCTTTGAACCTAAGGACTATTGTGTGTTTGGTTTGTGTGTGATTTACTCTATTTGAACATAACATCATGCATCATAACATAGCATCCGTTCTTATTACACTAACCATTTTAAGGACCAAGGAATTTTATCTTTGCCCTGTTTTGCAGATCATGGCTTTCGCTCGTAGAAACACTATCCGAATCAGCTTTGTGAGAACACCTCCCCAACTCAAAGAACTATTATCAAGGGTTCCTGAAACTTATGCATTCACCAAAATACATGGTCAACTTCTCAACCTGGTTACTTCAAGCTTTGATGAGAAGATGATGGGTGTACCCTTTCAGTTCTTTGATCCCGAGCACCACTGCTTCACCTTTCCAGACTATCAGTCGGTTCCTACCATGTAAGAGTTCTCTCAGTTATTGAATGTACCCATTCTTGACCAGGTACCTTTCACAGGTTTAGAAGTGGTTTCGAAGCCAGAAGTCATCGCCTCAACTTTGCATCTAAAACGGGCCGACATGGTATCTAATTGGGAAACAAGGAGCGAAGTCAAGGGTTTTCTAGCCAAGTTCCTAATAGACAGGGCCCAGCTGTTTTGGGATGATTTGGATTTTCAGGCCTTTGAGGAGGTCTTGGCCCTTCTAATCTATGGGTTAGTACTTTTCCCTAATCCAGACTTACTCATAGATGTGAATGCTATCAAGGTTTTCCTCTCTCGCAACCCTATGCCTACCTTGCTCGGAGATATCTTGCACGCTCTCCATACTCGTACCATGAAGAGAAGAGGTGTCCTTATGTGCTGCTTGCCATTACTGTCGAGGTGGTTTATTTCTCACCTCCCTAAGTCAATGCTGAAGAATGAAGAAGGTTTGGGTTGGTCGCAAAGGATAATGTCACTTTCTCGCACGGATATTCTCTGGTATTCCCGATTTATGGGAGATGTTTCTATTATTGACCGTTGTGGGGAGTTCCCTAATGTCCCACTACTTGGCATTAGGGGAGGTATAAATTACAATCCTTGTTTGGCTCTACGACAATTTGGTTATGCTCGAAGGGATGGTCCTCGTGAGTTACTTATCCAGGGCATTATATTTAACTATGAGGGGGATGTTCAAGGGTATCGCCAGAGGTTCATACGAGCTTGGGGCATGGTAAACAGATCTGACGCCAAGACTTTGGGGCCGAAGAATTCCATTCCTATGGAACCTTATCTCCAATGTGTACGAGCTCGCGCTCAGAAACTTATAATGCCCTACATAGCCGTCTTACCAGTTATTTTGGAGCCTGTTACTAAAGGGAATATTCCCTACACGCACTACACCAAAAATGATTTTTTGTATCACCTAATTTAATAGCACTTTTAAAAAAAATGCTATTAAAATGGAAAAAACACATTTATAATAGCACTTTTTAATCGGGCGCTATTATATAATACAAACTATGTAATTTTGATAGCACTTTGTACCAGAACGCTATTATTAAACTTCTTTAAGATAGCATTTTGTATAAAACGCTATTATTTGACTACCTATATAATAGCATTTATTAAAAAGCGCTATGTTATATATAATAATGAATTAATTAATTAATTGATAAAAAAAAAACAAAACACATTTTTAGAAGCACTGTGCAATCCAGTCACTAGCAAGTTCATGTTCAATTCTTTCTCCTCATAAAACTCTTCAACGCATCGCATGCCACGCACATTCAACTACAACCACGCGTGTAAGTTTCCCAAACCCACAGCGAACGTAACCGTTTCCCATCAATTTTCCCCTTTCGATTTTCCCGGCCACACCACCGCCGTCATCGCCGCTTCATCCACCGACGACAGCGGCATCCCGTCTCAAGATCTCGCAGTTCTCCTCGAAGTCGACGGGTGAATTTTCGCTTTTCTTCGTTATTAACAATCTCGTTTCAGTTTCACTCTGCTCAACTTGTTTGAACTGTTGTGGTTGTTAATTGTTTTATTTATTTATTTATTTATTTGTTTTTTAGGGTTCTTGTGGATGCATACCGTGGGAATCGCATAGCCTTCAATAAAGGTATCAACAGTTCGACTGTGCTCACTGTCACTGCTCATCTATAATTCCATATTCTCCTTGTGTTATTCTGTTTTCATGGAGTGTAACGAACTGTTGTTTTTCGATTTTGATTTTGATGTTGTGCTTGCAGCATTTGAGAAACTTGGACTTGATTGTGCGAGCTGGAGAGAACCTGTCTATTCAGATCTTTTAAGGTGTTTTTTTAGTTATATGTTGTTATATTATTTTCTTGCCTGTGCATATGTTCTAATGGAAAAGGTGATGATGATACACTTAGATTTCATGAGTTCTTGTAATCAATGCATTGAATTTCAATGAAGTCTCAGTTTGGTAAGGACTTGGAATTTCTGCATTCATGCAATCATGGATCTTAGCTGTAAGATGAACATGATCATCAAAGCACTGTGCAAAATAGCGGTGTCACACTCGTAGCTGAATCTGTGCATATGTTATTTCCGCATCAATAACTAAACCACAAACATGCTCGATAATATGCAGGGACTGTTTGCATATATAAAGCCCTTGTTTCTGAGGTATGTAAATCTAGCTTTCTGATGCCTACCATGCTTTATATTTCAGGTTGATACATTATTGCTGTTATCACAGCAAGACGAAAGACATCTATTGGAGAGAAATGTGAATTCAGCCCTTCAAATAAAGACTGAAGAACTTAAAAGGAACTTGTTACAGGTAAATTTGTCTGTCATGTCTTTGCTTCAGACACTTGGAACATTTAGATGCTAATAGCTCTGTGGTGGTTAGAGTTTAGAAAATTGCTTATGTTATGGCTGTGTTATGGATACTATACTATACTATATACTATATTGGTCAGAAAAGAAAGTTAGTTGTATGCTTGCAGCATCTAGGTTTTTAGTTATTTTGTTCTTTTATTTTCATTTTGCAATTTTATATATTCATATCCTTCAGAAAATGAAGCTATGCTAAGAGTCCTCTTAAAAATATCCAAAGCAGTATGTATGTGCCTCTGATTTGTGGACTATGAGAACCTTATTTTAAACCACTGGTGCAAGGATTTTGATATTATCCAATGCTCGGAAATAGTATTTTAATTTGAGAGTTGTTGTTTTACTTCAGGTTACTAATGAAAAGGTGAAAGCTCTAATGGAATTGGCACAATTAAAGCAGGAACATCAATTACTTCTGGAGTATGATTACTTTCCTAAAGATGGTTACATATTCAATATTTTTGTATCACTGAAGACTGGATATTTTTACTTTTACTAGGGTTATGTGGTTTTGTAGCTAATTGTTCCTAAGCATCTAAATCTATTCTTAGGAAGAAATATATCCATAGAAAAAATTAATGATTTTATACTAACGTTGTTTTTGTAATGGAGAAGGGTTTCAGGTGTTTTATATGATATGAATGTACTACTCAAATTGAAGGAGAATTTTTTCGGACAATTGTAAGACTGATGATGTTTTACGGAACAAATTATTGGATGTGTGTGTGGTAAGGCTAGATGAGATGAAATTAGAAATGAGAACATTAGAGAGATAGTGAGAGTTGAGGTAGCACCTATAGTAGAAAATATGGTGGAAATTAGGTTTAGGTGGTTTGGACATATAGGAAGAATTGTGGATTCAGTGGTAAGGAGAGTCGATCAGATGAAAAATAATCAAACCGCTTGAGGTAGAGGAAGTCCTAGAAAAATTATTAAAAAAGATCTCAAAATTCTTGAGTTTGATAATAATATGGTATTTGATAGAACATTATTGTATTGTTTGATCTATGTTGCCAACCCCACTTAGTGGGGTAAGGCGTTATTGTTGTAAGTTGTAATGTTTGTGTAATTTTAAAAGATAAATTTCCTTACCGGGAATGATGACCTAGCTAGAGGTAATATCATCACATCAATTATTCATACCGTAGAGATTTGACAGCTTTACATTTGCGGTTAATTGCATAACTCTTTTTCTCCAAGCTAGGCACTGACTACATAATCCACCAAGAAAGAACAGAACTATATACAGTGTGCAAAACTGTGTTCTTGTTTTCTGGCTAAAAAATAATACAAGTACCAGTAGAATCCTGAAAGTGCAAAGCTCAAAGTTAATTTATTGTTGTATAAAGTTTTAATTTAGTTGGCCTTGATTCTCTTGCCAACACCACCACTTTTTCCTTCGGGCACTTTGTTTGTATGGCTTTTATAATCTTCATAAGGTTTGATAAAATCCAATCTGAAAGCATAATTTCTTGTATTGCTTGGTAAACCAAGTAATATAGTACACTTATGCAGCAAGTGAGAAGACACATTTTCTCTTCCTGTAATCTTATGTTTTTATACTTAATTATTAATCAATAGTTAGTTTCATTTCATTTTTCTGCTTTGTGCTTTTTACTCTAGCTGGCTCAAAAGTTAACTTTCATTGCTTTCATAAGCCATTTTGATTAATAAAATATTTCATTTTAATGCACGAGCAGAAAATTAGATCATGAGAGTAAACAAGGAGTTGGCGGTGGAGAAAGAAAGCTTGTTATCCGTGAAAGTGATGGAACTCTAAAAAACTTGCTGAAGAAATCATATTTGAGACGATGGATTGACCCACTGGCACTGGATGCTAGAGGAAAAGAAGTTATCAGTAATTCAAATAATGAAGGGAAGCTCATCAGATCCAACAGTGTGGATTTTGCAAGGCATGTCTTAATTTTTGGTCTTTTGATTTTATTATATCAATCAATGTATGACTTTGGCAGGATTGTTTAAGCTATGTCAGATGTATTTGGCCTTTTTGAAGATGCCTCTAACAAGCAATGTTTCTTTTCATCCTTCTGTTTACTTAAATAATTAGCTTATTGTTTTTCATCCTTCTCAGTGTTGTGGGATGCATTTTTTATAATAAATGCAGAAAGTTAGTGATGAGAATCGAGAAAGAGCGTTAAATCCTCAACATCCCTATAGAAAGTCACGTTTAGGGTGTGCTCGTCTTGAAGCTGATATGGTAAGTATGTGTATAAATGTACTATACAATATTATAAAAAAATTTAATTGCTATGTTAATTTGTAAAAATGTATATACAGGTAGAAGAGTCAGAAGTTGGTGAGATAAACCGTAGTCAAGTGTGGAAGGCTGCCCGCGTCAATAAGAGCGGGGTGATTGATAATGAGAATGTTCAAAGAGTTGTGGATCAATGTGTAAGTCGAATTTTAGATGTGACACTATAGATGTTATTTCCAAAATGCTCACATTATAGATGTGACACTTTTTCTATACTCATCATTGTTACCGAATTTGTATTTTGTTAGTTAGTTTGAAGTCATTAAACTCGATTTTCCTTAATTAATTGAGTCTTTGTGTCTTATTTTGATAGAATAGCCATTAATTGCAACTTGTATCTAACTATTGGTTATTTCTTTTATACTTATCAATGTCAGGAGAAGTTAACAGAAGCTCTATCTGAAGAAGAGAGACAAGACCTTGGTCCCACAAACATATTATTTGAGGCTCTTAATCTCCCAAACTACTCTGGACGTGTTAGGACTTATGGTTTTGGGGTATGTTCTAGGGACATATTACCACGCCAAAATCGCCCCACACAAATGGATTTTGAAAAATTGTATGGCTTTTGTAATTCACTCAAAAGTAGATTGGAGGTGCTAGAGAGAGAAAAGATTGAGAGAGATAAGTTGGATAGAGAGAAGCTAGAGAGGCAACAAACTGAAGAAGTGGAAGAAAGGCAACAACCTAAACAAGTGTCAGAGAGGTTGCAACAACCTGAAAAAGTGGCACAGAGGCAACACCTTGAACAAGTGGTAGAAAGGAAACAACCAGAAAAAGTAGCTGAGAGTCGACTACCTAGTGATAAAGGTTCTTGCAACCCTGGATCATTTGGCAACATTCCCGAGGTAATTGATTTCTTTATTATCTCTCAAATTCGATATGTTTGTTCTTTCAATAATGATGTTAATCTTTTTATTCATATCTTATTGGTTTATGGTCTCTTTCCTGTTAATATATATTTATCCTCCCCGAGTCGTTGTTTGGTTGCTCGTGGAAAACTATATAACACCAAAGGTAACACGGTACATGGCATGACGTTACCACCTGGATATGTCAAGGTTAATATCGAAGTTGCTATTGTGCCAAATGCCCCATTGCCTATATCTGTTGAAGATGGAGATGTATCCATGGTTGGTCAAGCAATAGGAACAATTGTGCCATGGCCAACGAAACTTCTTGAATTTGTTGCTGAATGTGAAAAGGTAAATTACTTATAATCAAGTTGCTTGATCGCTACTTGTTTTATTATTTGATCACTAATATTAATTAATACAACTTTTTAGATTCCTGGTCAATCCCAAAACAAAGGTAACAATATTCAACACAGTGTTGAATATTCAGTTTCATCACCCAACAAAAGTAACAAAAAATTCAAAATCGAAGTCTCCTAGAGTTGGCGGTTCAGCTGGTATTGCAAATTTACCTTTCCTTGGTATTGCAAATTTAGAGTTCAAATGTTTTGACTTAGATGTTTAATTTTAATTTTTGAGTTGGATTTAGAGTTGTCGTATAAATGATTTTAGTATTTTATTGGTTTAGAAGATATGGCACAGAGGTACTGAGTGTTCTTTCTTGGTCTCGAATTTAAATTTTGAAATAGGAAAATACGGAAAAATGACTTATATCTTATTGTATGATTGATTTATAGTTTTCCGTTTCTACTTGAAATTTTTAGATATTCGTAGTAACAATTGTAAGGTGTTTGATATCTAGTTCTGGATCATGAAAAGAAAGTTACACACAATTAAGTGTTTATGTATATTTTGAGAATTTGAATTATATTCTGTTTAGTGTTTATATGCATCTAATAATGGAAATTGTGGTCTATATATTTACAAGTCATGTTCTTGTTAGACTTAATTAGTTCAATTATTGCATTAGTTATATCGATTTATTGTTATTAGTTTATAATAATCATTCCTTATTTTATGCGCTTCTTGTTAGACCCATATTAAATGTTTGATTATTCTTTATATGTTGAATTAGTTTTTATTGTACAATACATAATCAATATTCCTTCTATGATACAGGAAAACAAGAAGCAATTATTTTGCCTAATTAGTGATTGTATCTATGAGTTCAACGCTTTTGGATCATGAAGGTGGTTACTACATGGGATTGTTTTGTTATCCTTTCTTATTTTTTTGGTGTTTTGTTTAGAGAATTTGATTGTATGTTTTTGGATTTGGATTGAAGTACTCATAGATGGGCATCTACAAATTTGGCTATGCAAACGCCCTCTTAATATTCTATATGTTATGATATTTGGAAACAATAGGATTTGGTAATTTAAAATGTTATTTGGTATTTGATGGATCATAATATATATGCAATGAGTAACTTAAAGCGTTATTTGTGTTGAATTAAATATAGTTATTTTATATTTACACCAAAAAAAATGATTGTGTAAGAAAAAATATTGTACTGTACTTATTAAAAATATTGTACCAAATATGTACCATTTATTAGCACTTTATTTGAAAGCGCTATCAAACATATGTTATATATTAGCGCTTTTTGTTTAGAGTGCTATAAAAAAACAAACAAAAAACATGCAAAATACTGACTTTGATAGCACTTTAATTAAAACGCTATTATAAATTGGTACTTTAATAGCGCTTTTAAAGTGCTATTAAATAAGAAATATTTACAATAGTGGCGCGGTTAATAGCACTTTTAAGCGCTATCAAAAACATAAAAAAGCGCTATTAAATAGCTTATTTGGCGTAGTGACGGTTCTTTATCCTGATATGCTCACTGATCTTGAAGAACTACAGAGGTCTTGGATCCAGTTGAAGAAGGAGCGGGATACTTATAGGGACCAGTTCTATGCCCAGGAGAAGAAGGTTTTAGATCTCACAAAGCAGCTTCATGAGGAAAGAAGCCTTAATGCTTATCTCGGCACGAAGAGGAAGCATCCATGGGAAACTTGATATTTTTAGTTTTTAGAATTTTTAATTGTAACGCCTAAGAGGCAATTGTACCTTGAATTCTACTAATATAATCTTTGTTTCATTTTGGTTTGCAAAGTTTAAATTTCCCAAAGTACTTGAAATCATTGCATATGTATCCCATCCATAGCATTGCATAAACAGGTGCCATTATAGGTTTCTCATCTTCTTCACTGTTTATTTCAGCAAAGATGTCTTCTGAACAAAGCATCAGAGATCTTCAGGCACAAAATGCCCAATTTCAACAGATGTTCATAAGTCTGGAGAAAGGGCAGGAGGATCTGAAGGCCCTCATCCTGAAAGAGAAAAAGAAGAAGAAGAAGAAGAAACTCGTTGGTATCCTTAATATGGGCAGAAGATTCAGGGGGGCGCTAAAGCAATCAGTCGATTTGACCTCCTCGTCCAAAGAAAGGGAGAATCAAGAGAGGAAGACAAGGGAAGAGGACCCCAGTCCTGAAGTTTCTGAAAATGACACAGACTACAATGATGAGCAATATCCTCCCATTGAGGATAGATACAAGAAGTTAAAGGATCGGCTGAGCGCCATGGAAGTCCAAAAGATACCTGGGTTAGACTTCGAAGAACTGGGATTGGTGTCGGGAGTGGTCATCCCGCAGAAATTTAAGGCTCCAGTTTTCGCAAAGTATGATGGGGTGTCTTGCCCAAAGCTTCATATTCGTTCCTATGTAAGGAAGATCCAGCCCCACACCGCTGATAGAAACTTGTGGGTTCACTTCTTTCAAGACAGCCTGTTAGAGACTCAGCTCGAATGGTTCTACCAATTGGACAGAACCAATGTCCGAAACTGGGAGGATTTGGCTGCTGCTTTTTACAAGCAATATCAATATAATGCCGACCTGGCCCCTACTCGTACTCAACTCTAGTGTATGTCCATGGGTGCAGGTGAAGGCTTTAAGGACTGCGTGCAGAAGTGGAGTGACTTGGCTGGGAGAGTTCAACCCCCTTTATCTGACAGGGAGTTGGTTTCCATGTTTCTTGGGACGTTGTCTGGCCCATTCTTCAACCATTTGATTAGAAACTCATCGGCTGGTTTTACCGAGCTAATATTAACTGGAGAAAGGGTAGAAGTTGGGATCCGGAGCTGTAAAATACAGAGAGACACCTCCTCGAGTTTAGTAAATAAGCCCTTCACTGGTAAGAAGGAAGCCAGTGCTATCTATATCCCAAGTTGTCAGAGCAAAATGGAATACCGTCCAACGGTAAGTGCTGTAATGATACCTAGGCTTGCGGCTGCTCCACAGCACAACAATCAGCAAAGGGTAGAAAGACCACAAAGGCAGTTTACCCGAATTAACATGACATTGACAGAGGTTCTACCCCATCTGCTGAGGTCCAACTTGACAACTTTGAAAGAGGATCCCAAGAATTCTAATACCTCGTCTCCTCGGTACAATCCTAACTCTCGGTGTGCCTACCATTCTGAGAGTCCTGGTTACGATACAAATGACTGCTGGGCTCTAAGAAATAAAGTACAAGATCTGATTGAAGTCAGGGAGATCGAGTTCGACACTCCGGAGAAGCCCAATGTCATAACTTCTCCCATTCCTAGGCACAACCGTGGAGTTAACGCTATTGATACTGATCTGTTTGTGACCTCACTTGATGAAGTTTCTACTCCCCTTATGATTGTTAAGAAGAATTTGTTGTTGGCCAGTTTATTTTCGGGTTGTGGTGAAGGTTGCCACATGTGTTCATCTCTGCCTTCTGGTTGCTATCTGCTAAAGACAGGTGTCTAGCCTGATGGATAGCAGAGAAATTTTGTTCGAGAAATTTTTGACTCCTGTTGTTCCGTTCGAAGATGTTGCTATTATAACCATTTCCACCAATCCTTCCAAGGCCTCCTCAAGAAGACCTGTTAGGATTACACCCACTCCAAGAGTTGCTGCATTAATAATCACTTGTCCTGGTCCTGTCTCATACACCTCAGACAAAGCTGTCCCTTGGCATTATGGCGCCGATATCTACTATCATGGCGTTAAAAAAGACCTGAAGAATGAAGAGGCTGATCCTGATGTCAGTAACATTGTCGGGACCAGTAGTATTACTAGAAGTGGAAGGGTTTTTTCTCCTGAGATCTCCCCAAAGACTGTCACTAAGCCTGTTGTTATTTCATTTGATGTTCCCACCATTACTTCCGTCGCTACTCCTGTTCTTACTCCAATTGTTACTCCTACTGTAGAGTCATCTGGGACTCGAGGCAAAGAAGCTATAGGTGAGCCTGCCCAGACGGAGGCACCTAGAAATATTGTCGTGGAAACCTTTAAGCAAGAGATAGAGGAAATTTTAAAAATAATTAAAAAAAAGCGACTACAATATGGTCGAGCAGTTGGGGCAGACCCCCTCGAAGATATCGATGTTGTCTTTGTTGTTATGTTTTGAGGGCCATGCGAAGGCCTTGATTGCATTCCTCAAGACGGCGCATGTGCCACAAGAAACCTCTGCCGATAAATTCAAAGACTGCATGGCCAGCTTGATGCTGACAATGGGCTGGGTTTTTCAGATGCGGACTTGACACCGAAAGGGAGGAAGCATAATGATGCTTTGCATGTCTCGATCGAATGTAGGGGCACCACTATGGCTCATGTGCTAGTGGATACTGGGTCTTCCCTGAATGTGCTGCCTAAGAAGGCTCTTGATCGATTGGATTATAAAGGCTTGACCCTAAAGCCCAGTAACATTGTGGTAAGGGCTTTTGACGGGTCGAAGAGAATGGTGCATGGGGAGGTGGACATCCCTGTCAAGGTAGGCTCTCAAACTTTTAAGTCCACCTTCTACGTGATGGACATCAGGCCATCATACTCTTGTTTGTTGGGTCGTCCTTGGATCCATGAAGCTAGGGCTGTTACTTCTACACTATACCAAATGTTAAAGTATCCGGTGAAGGGGAAGATAGTCATTGTGCATGGCGAAGAGGAGTACATGGTGAGCCACCTGAACTCCTTCAGGTATGTGGAGATGGACGGGGAATTCATAGAGACCCCTTGTCAAAACTTTGAAGAGGTTCCACAGATTTTAGCGTAGACCGAGACTACCACCAGTACCGAACTTCCTTTGAAGATGGCTTCTCTCAAGGACGCCAGAACAGTGGTTGAAGAAGGTGGGTGTACCAAATAGGGATGGCTCCCTGATTTTACTTACAAAACTGGCAAATTTGGTTTGGGCTTTACTTTAGGGGCTCAAAGGGATGTTAGATGCGCTCAGGATGGAGGACCTCCCCTACGCATCATTAATCGTGAGGTCAACGTTATTGAAGATAGTGAGGAAGACCCTGACATTGAACGCTGGATCTACCCGACTACCAACGGTGGACCGAATAACTGGACGGCTAGAGATTTTATTCCAGTTTCTTTTATTCCGCAGTAATTGTCTTACTTGTGTTCTGAATTTGTAATGAACAACTTTTAAACTTTTTGGCCTTGTGCTTTACCCGAGGCACAATGGTTCCATCTGTGAGGGTTATTATATGTCATTTCACATGTCATCAATAAAGCATTGGACATTCCT